CTGATCCCCCACCCACATTGGTGAAACTGAGAGCCAGTACGCTTCAAGTAAATCTAAGCCGTTTCAGCCCGTCCGATTATTGACTTCGTTGCGCGACACTAATGTTAAGTGGTCAGGTACGGTGATATTAAGTGAGTTAAGTTGAATTCTTTCATCCTCAGGTTTACTCCGTGTGCGTTGTTGGAGTTCAACCGACCTACTTAATTTCCCCACCCCATTGGTACTTTAGCGTAACGTAGCCGTCGCATAGGTCTCTTGAGTGTGTGGTATTCATTCTAGGAGCTAGTTCCTTGGATCACGCGCTCCGTATACTATCCGCACCGTCCCAAAAGCGCGTGAAAAAGACTTGTTTCACAAAGCCCAGTTTAAGCTTTATCTTTAACGCCAGGTAAAAGTTTGTGGATTTACTTGAGTGAAAATACAGTATGTTCTGAGAGTCGTTTATTTCTGAAATTATTAAGCATGGAAGTTAAGTTTCAGAAGAAAATTAAGAAGTTGTTTGAGAAACGTAGCACTCTCGAAAACGAACTTTATAAATGCCACGAGATAATTTTAGAATACATAGAGAGTCAGAGTCGTTGCTCAAAAATTGATACTTATATTGAAAAATGTAGGAACTATATAGAGCAAGCGGTCGAGATAAATACTGAGTTGATTGATATGGCTGCAAAAAGTGTCAATCCCGACGAATTGATACCGGCACAGGATATGTGGCTTCATAAGTTGACTCAAAGCAACGATAAAGTTTTGCAGGAAGCTATCACATATAAAACAAGTTTTGAGGCAGTAACAGAGCCGGACAAAATTGATAGCCGCTCAAAAGTTTCTCATCATTCTGAAAAAAGTGAAAAACCCCGGTCGCATAAAACAGATACCCGCTCTAAGTTGTCGCATCGAAGCAGCCGACATCAGCAATTGGGTTCTCAGAAATCTAGTTATACCGCCGCTCCGTCGAAAACACTTTCTGAGAAAAAGCGCGATTTAATGATTTTAAAGAAACAACAAGAAGAACTTGAGAGGCAGGCAAAGGTATCATTAACTATCAATAGACGAAAAGGATCGTACGCGTCACTGGGTCGAATCTGTCGACCACAATCAGCCTGATGCTGTTGTAGTTCCCAATCAAAAGCAGCACGTTCGTTCAACAGCTCCTGAGGCAACTTATCCTGCATCAACAAATTACTTGGTCTCATCAAGTTTTACAGGCGTGAATAACGGCCACGCGGCTTCTAGTGATCCGGGATTGTATTACAGTAACCACATTCACGGACAACATCATAATTTGTCGAATTTGGTCCGATCGCAGGTTTCCGTTAACAATCCAGTAGGGTTACAGCAGGTCATTCAACCTGTTTCTAATAATTTGCCTCAGCAAACTTTTTTGTCCACTCATCCGGTGCTAGGCAATCCAAACACAGGTTCAGTAGTCCCGGTAACTTCTGAAAACTATTTTGCTCCGCCATCATCTGCAGAAGTTCCTTCTGGTGTAACACCGTTTGTTCCTGCATCAACAGCAGTTAATCATGTTTCTTTAAGTCATCACACTGCAGGATCAGTAGTAGCTGGCTACCAAGCACCTGTAGCCCCATCACAACAACATATGGGTGTTCCCGTTAGTAGTTATAACTTTTCAAGTGACCACTACAATCCTTATAGTAATTTGTGGAGACCAGCTGTTGCTACCCCTTTAATGTCAACTCAACAGCACTACGTTCCTTCGACAACTGTTTTTTCCGCAGTAACTCCGATTGTTCCTACGAATAATTTTGTTCCTTATACAAGTGGAGGGACTGTGTTCTTTGCGCAGCCTGAAAACTTTTCACATGCTAATCAACCGTTCGTTCCTGATTGTCACGGTAACTCTTCGAATTACACAGAGCCAACTCCCGGTAATTCACCTGGTGCAGACGTCGAGCGTCCACTTTCGACACGAGAGTTGGTTAATATACTCATGCACAGCCGAAAAGATCATCTCCCTGAGTGGAAGCTGACCCAGTTCGATGGCAACCCACTTAATTGGCATGAGTGGTTTGGGCAATTCACATCGACGGTCGATTCAGCCATACTCAGTGACGATGAAAAGCTTACCTATCTGAAAACGCTCGTAGTGGGTAAAGCAAAATCCGCAATCGCTGAGTATAGCTATAGCGGAGTACTATATAAAGACGCATTAGCAACTCTTCAAAGAAAATTCGGGCAGCCGCATGCTGTAGTAGGGGCTCACCTAGATAAATTGAGTAATTTTCCGCCGCTGAAAATGCATAACTCGGAAAATGTAATTGGATTTTCCTCTGCAATTTCTGGACTTGTTGCCGTATTCAAGTCTCTGTCTTTTAACGACGACCTGAAAAGTGTTAACTTACTGAATCAGGCTGTGAGTAAGCTTCCCCGAACCTTAAGGAGGCATGGTCGATGCAAACCGTAAGACGCCAATGGCATAGACCAACTCTGCTAGATTTCAATGAATGATTCAAAGAAAAAGCGGAGGGTCATGAGAGGCTGAAAACGATCCATTCTAAGGGTAAGTCTGAAGAACCACCAGTTAAACAAAAAGTAGTTACAAAAGTGCTTGCAGGTAATACTAAGGTAAGTTCTAAGGATGAGAAAAGTAGAGAAAAGACAAGGTTTCCTCCATGCTCGCTATGCAAAGGGCAGCATGCACTCTGGAACTGTTCCGTGTTCAAAGAGAAAAACGCAACACAAAGGGCTAAATATGTAGCAGAACAAAAGCTCTGTTTTTCTTGTTTACAAGGCAACCATACCTTCCGAAAGTGCCAAAAGGCAAGAAAATGCCCAAAACAGGACTGTGAGAGCACTCACAATGTGCTTCTTCATGGAGCCGAGAAAGTTTTCCCGCCCAAAGAGGCCGACCGATCACCATCGACTCAAATTAATACAAACACTACTTCTGCAAATAACGCAGCTTGTGTTAAACCTTGTGAGGGAACTGCAAAAGGTATTCTTCCCGTTGCGTTGGTAGATGTGTCCTCTGGTTCGGAAAATTCGAATGCACTAGCACTTTGTGACACCGGTTCCACTCATTCTTGGGTTTCCGCGGCACTCGTTGAACGTCTGAAATTAGTTGGCACGCCCGTAAATGTTACGACCGATGGTTTTAACTCAGCCAAGGTATCTAAAACTCAACGAGTTCACTTGAAAGTTTCCGCAAAGCCCAATGAAAGTGAATTTTTGTTTTCGTTTATCGCTTTCGTTAAGCACAACATGTATATAGGACCCGATGTTATAAACGTTTCCGAATTGCAGATCAAATACCCTGCAACTAGCCCCGTTAAAGACGACTGCGTATAATTACAAAGAGATTGAGATAGTTATAGGACAGGACTTCTATCATGCGATAAGACCCCTCGAACATGACTTCGGAGATGAACTTGACTCACCGTGCGCCGTCCGACTTCCGATAGGTTGGGTCATTAGTGGTCCGTCTCCTGATCGTTCGTCCTTAAATTCTTCTTCCTTTAACTGCGTTACGGACGATACTTCTCTGACCGACCAAATCAAAACTTGGTATGAGTTAGAGTCGTATGGTGCGTTCAAGCAAGTAGATGCCCGTTCAGCCGCAGACAAGCGTGCTTTGTCGATCCTAAAAACTGAAACCGTTCACTATGGTGAGCGTTACACTGTACCGATGCTGTGGTGTGATAATGATGTTAGCTTGCCTAACAATTATTATTCTTCATTAGCCCAATTAAAGTCGTTAGAGAAAAGATTAGATAAAGATCCGTTACTTCGCGAGAAGTATACCGAAACAATCAGAGAAGATATAAGTAAAGGATATGTCATAACCGTCAACCCGCACGATCCCAGCTCACGAGCCGAACGTGAGTGGTATCCTCCACACCATCCGGTTTTGAACCCGAACAAACCCGGCAAGATGGGCCGTGTGCTCAATGGAGCATCCAAATTTCATGGCACTTCCTTAAATAGATCTCTCTTAGTTGGCCCGGTTCTCCTTCAAAATCTTATTTTTGTACTGTTGAGGTTCCGTCAACACAAGTACGCCGTCTCAGCGGACATAGAAGGTATGTTCTTACAAGTTGGAGTACTTGCGCGAGATCAACCGTCTCTCCGTTTTTTGTGGCGGGAGGACCCCACTTCAAGTGTGGTGGTTCACCAATACACCCGTCATATTTTTGGCGCTCGTGATTCGCCAACTTGTGCGAATTTCGCGCTACAAAAAACTGCTTCTGATAATCAAGCTGAATACCCCGAAGCCGCTTCAGCCGTTGTCCAGAAGTTTTACATGGACGACTATCTTGACTCGTTCGAAAATACCGCTGACGCTCTTAGCCTAAGTAAAGACTTAGTCGCAATGCTCAAATTAGGTGGGTTTAACCTGACAAAGTTTGTTAGCAATGTACCCGAAGTTACAACCGCTCTTAATCCGGACAACCGTGAGTCCAACCCGTCAGTTAAGGATATTTGTAAGAGTCCAGACCAATCGTCGCATGTTCTTGGTCTCAGGTGGGATCATGTAAAGATACCCTAGTAGTAAGTAGAGGTGTTGATCGACCACTAGATAAAGCAATTACTCAACGCACCGTGTTGAGTTTTGTTTCCTCAGTTTTTGATCTAATAGGACTGGTAGCTCCATATACTGTGAAAGCGCGCCTTTTACTAAAAGACATATGGAGAATCAGTGGTCAAAAGTGGGATGATGATCTCCCAGAGGAAATTAAACAACAATTTCTAGATTGGCACTCAGGACTTCCACTATTAGGTACTCTGACGATACCTCGTAGCTACTTTACCGAACCGTTCGACCGCTGTGAACTTCACACGTTCGGTGATAGTTCGCAGGACGTTTTTTGCGCCGTATCGTTTCTCCGAGCCCGACTTGCTAAATCGCAAAAGACCGAGTTAGCTTTTGTATTTGGGAAAGCCCGTGTAGCGCCTATGAAGATGCTCTCCATTCCCATGTTAGAGCTTCAGGCTGCTCTGCTTGCGACTCGACTCAAAGAAGAAATTTTGAAAGCGCTTACTTTCAAAGTAAGCAATGTATTCATGTGGACTGATTCTACCACCGTTCTCCAGTGGCTTAACTCTTGCAACAAACTTCCTGTGTTTGTTGAAAACCGCACTGGTGAAATCTTGGAGTCCACCACCATTGATCAATGGAATCATGTACTCTGTGGTGATAACCCAGCTGATACCGGCACACGAGGGATTTCTTCGGAAGCCCTCAAGGATAGCAGCTGGGTTAGAGGCCCTAATATATTGAGGACATGTGATTGGCCATTCAAGCCGAACACTGATGTCATCAAAAAAATCCAATTAAAAGGCCCACTCTGTGACATTGATACATGCCTTGAGACTGCATCTACGTTTGTTGTTGATGCTTCATCTGAGAAAGCGCCGTCGATCCGTCTGTTTAAAAATTGGGATAAATTCAGCTCAATTGTAAAGTACAAACGTGTTTTAGCGTTTATGCTACGTGTGCTACCATCGCATAAACACTTCCGTACAAAAACGCTTGAAATAACCGACCCGTCCGAGTTAGATATTGCCGAGCAGAAGCTCATTTATCTCGCTCAGTCCGAATCATTTCCTGCCGAAGTGAAAATACTTCAGTCCGATAAACTGATAACAAAGAAAAGTCGGATTGCTAAATATTCTCCGTTCATCGGCCCAGCTGGCATCCTGCGTTCAACTGGACGTATCAGCCGTCTTGTTGATACCGACTTTGATAGCAAACATCCAATAATACTGGATGGTCGACACCGAGTTGCTCATATGTTGATTAGGCATATGCACTTTCAACATGCACATCAGGGGTTGGATTACATGCGTGCTGTAGTTCAGTTGAAATACATTGTTCTGAAGTTGCGCTGGTTACTTGGGAACATCGAAAATACTTGCATAACATGCCGTAAGCACAAAGCAAAAACAGTTGTGCCCATTATGTCTGACCTACCGATTGAAAGACTGGGTTACAAGCAGCCTCCCTTCTCCAACACAGGTGTTGATTACTTTGGCCCGTTTCAAGTGCCAATACGCCGAAGTACCGAAAAGAGATGGGGTTTCCTATTTACCTGCCTCACGACTCGAGCAGTTCACATCGAGTTGGTTCCATCTCTCGATACTAGTTCCTGCGTCATGGGCGTAGAGTGATTTATTGCAAGGCGAGGTACCCCCAAAACCATTCTTTCTGACAATGGCACGAATTTTGTTGGTGCTCAAAAGGAGCTCCTATCCTGTGTCCAAAATTGGAACAAAGTCGCCCCGGCCGTTTTCGTCCACAAAAGCATTAAATGGAAGTTTAACCCGCCCAGTGCCCCTCATCACGGTGGCGCCTGGGAGCGGCTAGTGAGAAGTGTTAAGCGAGTGTTGTACGACATATTAGGCAACAGGAGATTAACTGAGGAAGTTCTAGGAACAACGCTCTGCCTAGTTGAACAATTACTTAACGCAAGACCGATCACTCCGGTCAGTTCCGATCCGCACGACCTAGAGGCACTCACCGCAAATCACTTCATTCTCGGTCACAGCGCAGCTAGCTTCCCGTCGTTAAGTTTCGAAGATAACTTTGATTATAAAAAGCGTTACGCCAGAGCACAATCGTACGCTAACGCAGTTTGGTCACGCTGGCTGCGTCAATATGTACCATCTCTCAACAAGAGAGCAAAGTGGCATAATGATTCGGATGTCACACTGAAAACCGGCGACTTGGTTTGGGTAGTCGAACCCGACAGACCACGTGGGCATTACCCACTCGCCCGTATTGCTAAACTACACTACGGCAAAGACGGATGCGCCCGATCCGCCGATATCAAAACTGTTACGAGCGAGCTGATACGACCGACCGTAAAACTCGCACCTGTTCTTCCGTCTTTAGGGGCGGAGGATGTTGCAGCGCAAATGTAAATGTGCGAGAGTATAAATGCATAAAACTGAACCAAAATATAAATGCATATAGGGAGAGTAGCCGAGCGTATACATGGTGCGTCCTGGCGGTTTCGGCGCCGGTTCGAATCCCGCCTAGGTCATTTCCTTTCTAGAACTCGAATGTGCACCGAACTTGATGGGATGCTCCGTAACCAGGTTCGGTCCCCCCAAAACCCATTTTAACCGTCTTTTCGCTCTAATTTGGTTGAGCCTTGGTTAAGGCTGACCTTTAAAAAGAGCAATTTGTCTCAAGGACAAATACTGGCCGTTTTTGCAGCTTGCTTTGAGTTATGCAGTTTATTGTGGCCGATGTTACCGATGATAAAGCTTGTTAAACATTATAAATTATCCTTATATTTTCAAATTTCCGGAGTTATTTTGCCGAGAAAATACTCTTTAATTAAAGTGTTTAAAAAACCGTTTTTAATATAATCGTGTAGATTGACGCGCACAATTTTTTTTACTATAGAAGAGAAGATATAGTGAACTATCAGCTTCTCAGGATACAAAAAATGAAAGTTGATGTAGATGACTAGAAAGGTGCTTATTGAGGTTTCGAAGGCCATAAAGAGTTAGTTTTTTGAGATAGTAGAAACATTCTCAAAATCAGAGCTGATCCTCGTTGATTTCAGGAATACCAGACCTTCACGTCCTACCCCACGTCCGCCGCCGACAGCCCCCGTCATCTGCCTTTAGTCCACCCACCATTCGATGTGGAGAGGGGACAAAAGGGTAAGCGGGAGGTAGGGGGTAAACATGAGTAGGGGATGCTGGGTAGATTGTGTGCTAGGCGAATACAACTGAAGTCAAAGATTAACAAAAATACGTACCTAGTGCGAGAATGAAAATTAGTGAGAGGACAAAAAACTAACTTGAGCTTAAAATTCTTTAAAAAACTAAAATAGCCCACAAAACAGATATAATATTTGACTACGGTTGATTATAATCGATTATAATGGCTTACGTTTCTTACGATTGAAGTTTTTCATAAAAATTTGAAAGTAATCCATTAGAATCGATGATTAGGAAAGGATTTTTGTTTGAAAAAAAAGTATCAATATAATCCGTTTCTAATCAATTATAGTCGGTTGCGGTCAATTTAATAAGGACAGGCTTTAAATTTTCAATTTATTAGACTTTTTATCCATGAAACTTCAGTACGATAAGGCACTAAAACCCACCAGATGGGCAGATGTGCTTCTAAAGATAATGTCAATGACGTTGGTATGACAAAATTTTCATTCTTACCGTGTCAAAGCATTTTTTTAATCAGTTTTATGAGATCAGTTTATTTCATCAGAAGATATTTTCTGCAAATCCAGTTTTAAATTTCTCGTGAACTTTTTGTCTAAAATATTCTATTTCACTGCTGTGCAAAGTAGATTTTTACTAGTATTTATAGGTATAGAGATGCGCTTATTTACCTATCGAGCGTTGAACTAGTCCTCGCACTTGTACGCTGATGATTTTTTAAATTATACATATTGCTCTAGTAGATATAGTTTTTCTCGTTTCTTTGTTGGGGTTGATGAACTTCTGAATCGCTATTAGAACTATATAGCAAAAGAGCTCTTGAACTTAAGATGTAACTCGCTAGAAAAAAAATCGAACCATATTCTATCAAATCATATCAAATCGGTCCCGATATTCAATATTCTCAAATCTAAGTTTGCCTAACCAATAAATAGTTTTTATTGTTTTTGACTACTCAAGAAGTCAAGTTGCTAGAGTCTTTGGTCAAAACTTGACTATTCTCACGGTTATACAAATAGCACAATTTTCTATAAATCAGCATGAAATTTGTGCAGCGCAAGTTTTGATTACACTGAACTCAAAGTCATATTCAACCGAAGTTTTGTCAAAATTTGTTCCGGTTATCTTTAGATGAATTCTTAAATATTCGTTATTTGACTGCGGGTTTGATTTTAATTCTAAAACCGATCGATAATAATCGATATCAGAAATTAAGTTCATGCAACTTCAAAGATATTCAAATAAAATCGAATATTTGTTATACTTTATTCTAACTGAATACTGTGACATTTCGATAGAGAATCGCATCTTACTTTTCATCTAAAATCTTACATTTTTTTAACTCAATTATCATATTTTGAAGTCTGTTTCATCAATAATTACCTTATTGTTCTAAAAACAATTCAATTATCTTTAACTACTTATAACCGAAGAAGTGAACCTGCCGTGCAATTGAATGGCATTAGAGGTGAAATTCGAACTATTTTTCAAAAATTTCGTCAGCGGGAAGTCACGGACAAGTATTTACATTAACTAGGAATTTTTATTTTTCATCCACAACGTTTTCTTGCAATGTTTTTCTAATTTTCAGATTTTGACACGTTTAACCTGTTTTTGGGCTAAAATTGTTCTTTCTTTTAAATGAAAAATTTTAATTCAGATTAGCAATACTTCAAGCCTGTTTCGCGAAAAAAAAATTTTGTTTTCAAACTGTCAGCTATTTTTTTCAAAAAAGAATTTCAAATTTTTGAAACCTTCTTTCTATTTTAGCATCATGGGTTTTTTCCATCTATATCAAACTACTTCCAACAGCAGCAGCAGCAGTGTAGTAGCAGTCGTCTACTCAGTCTCAATTGGGATCGGAATAGGGGCAGTTGGACTCACCATTTTCTGTGAGCTAGGCGACAAAAATTTCATTGTTTTTCTTTTCATATTTTAGGACAAAAAACAAAACAATCATTTCTGCTAATTTAACAAAGCATAAAGAACGGTTTGATTTTTTGTCATAAAAAGACATATTTTGATTTGTCATCCACTTAATTTATTCAAAAGTGATTGTTTTTTATTACTCCATAGAAAGACAAATTGAAAACTGAAAACAAATATAGCCGGTTGCTGTAAAGGTGGCATAAAAAATTACCAGCGCAATTATTAAAATCCGAAAACAAGCCTAAGACTTAGACATAATCAAAAGTAAAAAAAGCTAATTCGACAAAAGTTTCTTTTCAAAGTTCAAATAAAAACAAGAAAATCAAACACTACGGAGCCAAACTGTTCACTAGATAGGCACACTATTTCGTGTCTGTTTGTTCATGGATTCCAGAGACAAGTCTTTAAACATGTTAAAAGTTTTCCGGACCGTTAAAAAGAAAATGAAAAAAAAACAATAAAAGAACAAAGGGAGCGTCCTTATTGCGGAATCACAATTTCGCCTCGCTCGCTTGCAATTCACAAAAAGCACAGTTCGGCCTCATACTGAAAAAACTTATAAATAAAAAAAGATAACCATTTTTTGTCCCAGGTAGCGAAATGAAATGCAAAAAAATATAAGTTGGAGAAATTTTTTTTGGCTTAACTTAGAGATTATTGCTTTATTATAAAAATGAATTCTCGAAAAAAATTTAAAATGCAATTCGGTTTTTCTGCACATTTTCAAAAATTTAAGCTAATTCAACGCAGGTTGAAAAAGCTCGAAACGTTTTGTAACTCAATCCTTTCCAATGATTGGTTGGAGCACCTGGTTTTAATTTGAAAAATCAAAAAATACACGAATACGAAGTTGATCCCCACGTTCAGTTTTTGGCAAAAATCAAACTTTTACAAAAATCACATTAAGCATGTCCTTTGATACGTAATAAATCTATTTGGATCAGTGGATGGGTGTATTATAAGGAGACGGGTCTGATCCAGACAGTGAAATTAAAAGGCAATCACGAGGGACAATAATTCAAACAAAGTAGAAGCAAGGTCACCAATTAGAAGACAAAGATTTACCGAATAATGAGTTTTTATTATTACAGCAATCAATTTTGTTTTTGTTCAATTTGAGGAGAAGCAAGGTGTGAAAGAATTAATGTTTTCCCTTCAAAATGTCTTTATTTTGTTTGTTTTGCTCGTTATTAATTTCACTGTCTAGATCAGACCCGTCTACTTGTCAGTTACCAGTGCGTGTTCCGACTGCCTTTTAACATCCTGATTTGTACAAAAAAAATGTATTGGACTTAGTAACAAAATCATAATTAAAACACAACGAACAAATGGTATCGGACCTAAAACACGTCTGGATCTGAAGTACAATAATCATTGTTGTGAAGAACTATGATAAATCAAAAACTTACATTTAAAAATGGAGATCAAATTCAAATTGACTATGATTAACAAATCAATTTACTTTGCTGTCTATTCAACTTAACAAATCCTGATGAATCAAATCAAAAAATTGCAGCAGGCTTTTTTTCTGGAGGACAGCAATATCAAATCACGATCTGCCAAATTTCGTATGAATTTAAATATGACTGTAATATTGCAAACAAGCCCCTGCGTTGACTTTCATAGACGTAAAATGTTAATTATATAACTCTACGCCTTAAATTGTTGATAAAGTAATCGGAAAAATGCCTAAAATACACTTTCCATAATTGCAAATATGAAAGAAAAGTATGACATTGACCATCATTCACATGGCTTCAGAAAAGCCGATGTGTTCCTACTTTGAGAAAAAAATTCTTTTATCTTTTTTAGTCGCAAAAAATTATTCTACGCTCAAAACATTTTATGCTCAATATAAAACATGCAATTATTACAAAATGCTTTTCCAGACTCAAAAAATATCAAAAATAACTGTGAAATTTTTTAGCAGAAGTAGATTTTCTAATTTCCTTTTTTCCATGATTTGATGAGTTCGAATCAGACAAAAAAAAACAGGCCGCAGCTTTCGAGCAAAATTTGTTTAAAATTGAAAGCTAATGTGTTTATTAAAACTGAATGCAAACTGGTTTTTTGTTAAAGTTTTATGGGAAAAAAAGCAAGAATTAATAGTTAATGCCAAATTGCCTGCACTATATTTTTCGGTCAATGAATCTGAACGTCGAATCACTTATTAATGTTCCTATTCACGTCGGATTTTATTTCATCTCTGATTTCTACACAACAAATCGTTTCCAAATATAACTAATTACCCTAAGAAACTGTTTTTTGACCGGTTGATTGGTTCGAGGCCACCCTCATTGCGAACAATTTGACAATAATTATAGGTGGCAAATCCCCATCTTGCAGTTTTTCATAGAAAATGTTGCCACTTATACAGTGGGGCTTCTTATTTAATAAACTATCTAGCTATGTTGGTTTCTATCACAACAAAAATCAAAAAACTTGTCTCGGTCTCAACATTTTAGTTTTTATCAAAAATTCGTAGTCATACAACTGTCCATAAATGGGAGAATGCTTGTCAAGACGATTTTTATAGTTTTCTTTACAGATTTAGTGATATAAAATAGCATGAAAATAATTGCTTCATACATGGAAATTGAACAATTAGAAGCTTTAGTCAACCCTGGTCTTAAAGCAAAAAAAGGACAAATTCAATTTGTTTGTATAAAGTGAGCAACCTCCCCACCTTCAGTTCCGCGTGGTGGGAAGTTTAACTCAATGGGTGTTTACACTCTTGATGGACGTTTACACTTGTTTGAAAATAGTTAAACAGAAAAGAAATCATGCGCTGGTTTCCCTATTGAATGTGGAACACAAAAATTTACAATATCAAACTTTGAAAAATGTTATCAGGGTGAACCAAAATCACCAAAAATGATGCCTATATTTTTTTGGTATCCTTTCCATTTTTAGGTGAGTGGTGGGTGGGGGAGATATATGGCTCCATTGTCTTTTTCGGGGGTCTTTAATAACTGAAAATCTCTCTTTTCTCATTAATAGTAATTTTTTCTGGCCGGTATTTGATAATCGGGCATATGGCCTCATGTGGATCACTGAAGTCTGAAATGAGGTAATTATTTACAAACCATCGGCTTAACTTGAAAACCAATTTTATTTTCCTTCTACGATATCTAGTTTTTTTGTTTCAAAAACAAGATATTGGGCACAAATGCTTTTCTGCTCATTTTTTGTCATAATTTTATCTCAGATAGTTTTCTACCTATTGTATTTTAACCCCTAGATTTTATTGGCGGCTTCGAGCATTCGAATCTCACGCTCACCGATTCTTGATTTATTTTAGTTGAACATTTCAAAGTATTTAATCACATAATAACACTTTGAAAAAGCATTCTATGCAACCCCTGAGCAAAATGGTACAATGGTACGAAAAATAGTTAGAAACTGAATAATCAACATAAACTCTTTCACCACCATTTTTTTGGCCCTATAATTTTGACAAAGTATTGACGGCTTCTGTCTTTCTTATTCAGATCTACAGAAGAAAGTTAAGGATTCTTGGAAGTATGTTGGCACAGTTGATCGCATCTCAATCTACCCAATCAAAGGTCTCAAGGGTTTCCAGGTGGGGGGCCAGTCACCCTCAGGAGACCCCGAAACAGACACTGCCTGCACTGATGTCATGATAACCCCAGCTGGGTTGAAATGTGGCGATCTGTATGACAGGTGAAATTCGAGGTCAAATTTAAAGGTCAAAAAACTCGAAAAGATACGAAGGAAACTACGAAAATGATTAGCATGCATAGCTGTCAATAAAAAGTTTGATGAAAAATTTTTGAATGAGAAAATCTAAACGGGGTTTGAAATGATAACACAATTGCAGCCCTATAGCTGCTTATTAGTTTGTGCGTTTAATCGTTTACTTTGATCGTCGAAAGAACTTATGAGATAAAAAAAATCGTTTTTTTTTGCAAAAATTTCCCATGAGTCCCATGCAAAAATTTCCCATGCAAAAACTTGTCCCATGCGGAAATTTCCCATGCAATAATTTTGCATGCGGTTGCAGTTATTCAGTCCCACGCAAAAATTTCCCATGCGGTTGCAGTTATTCATATCACATTAAGCCAAAAGCAAAAACAAAAATCAAAAAACATCACATTTTTGTTCCAGTATTTTTTTTCAATTCTCTTACAACAAGATGTTTGTTGGGCGAGACGGTCCGGGATTCTGAAAAGAGAGTAGCATAAAAAACTACGTGTTTTCATTATAGGTGTTTCGTGTTGGGTTCTAATAGTAACAAGAGGGGCAAGTTTGAATTTGTGACTATGAGGTCAATTCCTAAACTAGTCCTGATTGACGTCACCCCCACCGATGAGTCATTCTCCAGTGTCACTCTGTCGGCACCTGACATGGACGACATTGTTGTGCACTTCCCGAAACACACCAAGTGAGGACTGATTTATGTTTGGATTGATGTTTTCAAGTTTCGTTTTAAGCGTAATTATTACTTTATGAGACACCTAAACACGAGCCGCGTGCTTGCCTAATGGTGTTCTACGATTAAGTTTTTTTCATTTGTAAGTTTATCTAGATAACCCTGCACTTAGATATCGTTTGGAAACAATCTATTATAATTATAATTTTGGAATTCTGATGATTTAACTCCACGAAAACTTTCAGCAAACACACCTTGATTAGTTTTTGAAACAAAGAATGTCAAAAAGAGATTGTCAAACAGCTTTCCAACGAGCGCCAATTTCACGTTTCACGTAGGATGTCAAATTTGCCGTGGGAACATTCTCTTCATTGCCAATCAGTAGCTTCTGTTTTCAAAGCTTCCGTTTCTCTTGACAAATTGATACTCGCGATTCGGTTAAAATTTTAGTCAAATTGGCGGTTAAAATTTTAAAGAGCAATTTTATTGTAAGTTTCAAGGAAAACTCTGAATTTTATTGAAATCACATTTTGTTATTTTTAGTGAGAAAGTTGACCTTGAACTCTATTCGTCCCCCTCTGTGGGCATCAAGTGTGAAGAGAGTGTGAACAGGTGGTTCCAGTCATACTTGCAGAGGGAGGATGTCTATCTAGTGTGTGCCATGGACAACACGAAGGAGTCAGTCTGCACTAGGGATCCATCTAAAGGCGAGATATGCTTATTATTGATAGGTTTTGAGGTTCGGTAAAGCCTAAAGAGAATTCAATAAACTCGAGTTTTGAATCTACTAAAAGATTATTCAACTCTGCTTCAAAATAAACTATCGCTGCAACATTCAATTTTGTCGAAGCTTTTGAATCTTCCGACTGGAGATTTGATACTCATCAGGTATTCATTGGGTACACCCCTCAAAATATGGACGCAATATTAATTATTATAAATAAAGTGTTAATTTAAACAAAAAACTGAAATGTTAAAAAAAATTGTTATTTTTTTCTTGCAGATCCCAAAATTGGCAAGTACTCGCCTCCCGACATGCGAGTGATCTACAGTGACAGCACCCCTGTCATGCTCACCACTACGGCTTCCCACGACGACATCAACTCCAAACTCCGACTCAAAAACCGACCGCAGATGTCAATCGACTCGTGGAAGGCGAACTTAATAGTCAAAACCGAGAACGAATCGTTGGCTTTTTCCGAAGACGTTTGGGGTCAAGTTGCATTAGGGGATGAAGTGACCTTGGAAAGGGTCAGGCCATGTCATCGCTGTGCAGTTGTCAAGGTCGACCCGAAGACCGGGACACATCGCAAGGACGAGGAGCCGCTTCGGACTCTGAGGCAAATGCGGCATCGCTTTCGGGTTCCGTAATGTGAACTCGTCGGCAACAGGCCGATTGTTTCTGAAAACAAATCAGGTATTTTTTTCCAAAAGAAAGAAAAATTTAATTTTTTTCCATGCTTCAGAACGTACAGAATGATTCCAGCATTCAACAGCCCGATTTTTGGATCTCTGCTGCATGTGTCAACTCCTGGTCGTGTCTGGGTTGGGATGTCAGTTTACGCAGTGGAAGAAAAATTCAGAGCAATGGACTAGAGCAAACTCTTTTAAATATAGTTGTTAGAGAAATGAGTTCTAAACTAATCAATTCAGCTTATTTTTAAATTATTTTTCACACTACTCAAAATGGATGATACCAGTTTTCTTAAATTGGAGACAGAATCATCTTGAGAATTGCGAGTGAAATAATTGGTCCGTTTTGCTCATCTAGACTTTTATACTCAGATGGCGCTATTTAAACAGGACTTATTTACTCTAACCATTCTTCATGCAGAGTTACTGTCTGGCTTATTTACGGGTATTAAAAGGCAGCTCCACAGATATCGAGTCCTTGTATGGCAAAAGTTTTAAACAATGCTGTATATGTGGGAGTGTCTTCTGGCAAAATCATCTGATGATTTTGTGAAAGGGCGCCTAAAATAAACGCAATCGACTTTCAGAGTTAGAACAGAAGATTTTTTTTTTTTTTAAAGCTACAAGTTTATTCTTTCTTTGTTAAGGTTGAGCAACGAAAGTGATTCACACAGATGGAATAGTATTTTGAAGCCGACAAATTTAGTTTCTTAAGCTCGCTCAATTTACTGGAAAACCATATTTTTGTCAGATTTTTTGATCCCGAATTGAAGAAAAGTGAAAAAAAAAAATCGATTATAATGGATTTTCGTGGTCTAAAATAATGTCACAATAATCAATTCCCCTAATACGCTCTGACAAAAAAATAGAATAAAAATGAATTTATATCCTTTTTTTCTGGTAAAAATGTAATGCATTATAATCATTTGTAATACATTTTAATGGATTATATAATTAGTAGAAAATCAAATTGAAATGGATTTTTTTCCATTTTTTTTGTTTCGCATCGTGCAAAATTTTGCGACAACTTCTGCTTTTATCAAATCAGTAATGCGAGAAATATGGAAAGCGAGTTTACAGCCGACTCCAATTATAAACCTAAGATCAAATTGAATCACTTGAACCAGCAAAAAAAGTCGAATATAATTAAGGTTCCTCGTCAGTGTCACAAAAGTGAAAAAAAAAAATTATTATAATGGATTAAAACCAGAAACTCTGTTTTGTTCGTGGAATGCAAATGCGGTAAGGACGCGAAGTTTTGTCCTTTTTGGAAAATCAAGCGATCAAAGAAAATTTCAGCCAAGTAAATTAAAGGTTCGCCTAGGTCGATTTATCTATATCAGTGATAAATGTGTTTTCAACCAAACACAAGTGACAAAGACCTTGGTTACTCAAAGCAACAAAGGCTGGACGGCCTTGCATTCACAATGCATAGAAAACGACGTGAATTGTCTTTGAGCTGTCTTTCACAAATGATATAACAATAGAAACAAACTTTTAATTTTTGGCAAATCTTTTCAATGATGACTATTTTAAACTTTTGTCCTTTTTGTCCTTTTTTATTATTAGGTCCATAAAATCCATTCAAAATCGTCTGTAGTCTCTCTCTCTCTCTCTCTTTCTTTCTCTTAGTCTTCGACTCAGGAGATCTTTCGCAAAGGTATTCTCGGGTCTTGTGGAGGATTATGTTAAAGCCCCCCAGATTTAACCAAAAAGAAAACCAAAAACACATCCCTCGTTTGCTTTTACATGAGCAATCGTTTGCACCATGCTCCCAAGTGCGAATATAGGACTGTCATTATTTAAAGTTTTCAGCTTTCAGCTTCGTTTGTCTCCTCTAGGTTGTTTTTCTCCTCGTATATGCTTCAAGGGTTTTGTATCTGTACCTGTTTTCATTGATCGTCCGCGCTGTGGTTCTTCTCCGCCGCCTGTTCGAGTATCGAGTAGCTACTTAGTTACAAAAGGAAAACCCAAAAAAGCACCTATCATACAAATTTCAAATATGGAAAGTGCTTATCATAGAGTTTTCATACAGTTTTCTGTACGCATGGAATTGTATGAAATTGTATGATTATAGTTTCTCATATATGGAAATTGTATGATCAGAAGTTTTGGTCAACCCGGGCCATTAAAAGTCAAATCAAATAGAATTCAGACAAAAACTAAAAGGGGAATTGGAAAAGAGCCCCTATTTTGTCTTTTAATATGACCAAAATTGGCAGCGTATAAAAATGCTACTCAAAATCTCCTCACAGTCAAGTATGGTAGAACTTTTTTACTCTGTGAACTAATTAGTTACCTGTCACATATGTGATAAAGTCTGTCTGTCGCGCCTATTTTTCATTTCTCCATTTTGAATGGATAATAAGGTTTTTATCAATGTCAACTATTTTTATTTTATGCTTATAACCATCTTGTAATTAAGTAGCTACTCGATACTCGAACAGGCAGCGAAGAAGAACCACATCGCGGACGACCAATGAAAACAGGTACAGATACAAAACCCTTGAAGCATATACGAGGAGAAAAACAACCTAAAGGAGACAAAAAGTTTCAACGAAGCTGAAAGCTGAAAACACTAAACAATGACAGTCCTATATTCGCACTTGGGAGCATGGTGCAAACGATTGCTCAAGTAAAAGCAAACGAGGGCTGTGTTTTGGGTTTTCCTTTTGGTTAAATCTGGGGGGCTTTAACATAATCCTTCACAGGACCCCAGAATATCTTTTTGAAAGATCTCCTGAGTCGAAGGCTAAGAGAAGGAGAGAGAGAGAGAGAGACTACAGACGCTTTTTAAGGGCGTTTACGGATCTAATGAGATAATGTAGCACAAAAAAAGCAGAAAAGGGCTGGTGATTTTCTTTTTCGTCATGCGAAAACCTGCTTCGCAGAGAAAGTTTTAACACCAGCAAAAATCGACCTTCTCGATGACAACATGTATATTTTTTTAAATCATCTCAAGGTAATCAATGTTTTTAAAAGTCATCCAATGCACCTTCCAAAACCTTCGAGTCTAAACATCGGCAACAACATAGCAACAACTAAAAAAATTAGCGCGGAAACTTTTGCATGGAGTGACATCCAGGCGCGGGCTTAGGATTTTCTCTCAGGGGGGTGGGGGGTGGATATTCAAAAAATTCGAAAATTTTAACAAAAATTTTTTTAGGTCGACTAAATTGATCCAATAAATGCGTTTTTAAGCTCTTTTTTTTTGGAAAATTTTGGCCAAAAAATTGCGTTTTTCAGCGCGCGCTCGCCTCCCCCCCTCCCCCCCAAATCCCCCCGCAAAATTAGTATATAGTGGCGCCAAAGAAACTTTTTAGGGTACGTCACAAAATTGGACCTTTTGAGTGGGCAGGGGGTCGATACCCTAAAGGGTGAAGAGGCGTCGCACCCACGCCACCCCCCACCCTCTAATTCGCCCCTGGTGACCTCTTATCGCCTCTAGTGTCAAAGATACGACCTGCCAAAGTAGACAAAAACAAAGATCACCTTGAAAAACTCCCTCAGACTAAAGAAAAGGAATAACACAATATATGTAAATGAATCCGTTGATTGCAGGAACTCATTTCACGGAGAGAAAATAATTAATCAGGGAGAAAACAATTCTGTTAGGGCTAATGCTAACGGTGAATGAATTTAGAATAATTTGGAATGAATTTAGATATATAATTAATACTACCCATGAACGATCTAAGTTGTTTTAGTGACTTGGGGGGTTGGAGATTTGCAATAGCCTCAGTTTTTGTAATTTTCGGTATGAGACCTTCTGCCGACAAATTATGGCCTAACCAATTTACTGAGGGCTGAAAAAATTCACATTTTGGTACTTTTTAATGCAAGATTTTTGTTATCCAACTTTTGCAACACATCACGGACCATTTTATCATGATCCCTAGCGTCCCCCTTTGAGACGATTAAAATATCATCCAGGAAGCAAAAGGCATTTTTGGAGTAATTCAGTGTTCTATCCATCGCTTTCTGGAATTCAGCGGGCATGTCTGCCAGCCCGTAGAAACCTGTCAGAAATCTATATGTTCCCGATGCTTGGCCTCCTACGATGTTAAAATTGCATTGTTTTGCTGTTTCCGCAGTTAGTCTTATTTGACTGTAGGCATACTCTATATCCAACACAATGAAATACAGTGAGCCTTCTGATGTTGCCGTGATTATTTGGCTAACACCATCTATCAATTCATCCACGTTTGGCATCTGATATTTATTTTTATACAGTTGTCTATTGATAGGTTTTGCGTCCAAGGCTAACTTAATAGAGTTGTCTTTCTTAACTGTGATAACAATTGGAGCAATAAAACAATCGCTTGTGCACTTATCCAATTTTTCAATGTGTCCTTCTGCAAGTAGTTTATCTAACTCTGCTTGTACTTTATCCTGAATGTGTATAGGGATTGTCCTACCTTTTTCTTTGATCGGACATAAAGGATATTTAAATTTTGTATTCATAGTATGATTCTTTGACTCCCCTTGTCTATCAAAAAGATTTTTAAATTTATTATAAAATTTTTGCTTCCAACCTTCTGACTGATCGCACAGTAGCACGTCAAACCTGGATCTTCAGGTTGGAGCTGATTTTTGAGTGGTCTGAATTCCCAGTTTACTTTGAAGATCCAGACCTAGTATACATCGCATACGTCTTTCTGTGACTAGCAGCATGGCTCCCAACCCTTCTCAGCCCGCCGAACGCAGATTCGCTTTCAGCGCTCCTAATATCAAAATAGGTCGTTTATTGTAATACACAAACTGCTTCTCTGACCGGTTCAGCTTCTCTGCTGGAATAAATTTTGAATTCGTAGGTCCTTCCAGAATTTATTTTGTTGTCGCCCAAATCAGAAGTGATACTGGACTACCCGTGTCTATAGTCATATTCAAAATAAGACTATCAATTTTCACTAAAGCCTTCAATGCTTTAACTTGATAAGATTATGGATTCCTTCGAATCTCGATTTTCTCAATATTGTCAAGTTTTTCCGTCAGCACTTTTTTTCTCATTGTTTTTCTCTTCGGACACATTCGCTAATACTTGTTTGTTGATGTATTTTTCAATTTTTTTAATGGAAGTGAAAACATCCTCTTCAGCCATTATTTCAAATTCGTCGCAAGAATCAAAATTTTGTATTAAATTGCATTCCTCTTCCGAACTAGAATCTTCATTTACGATTTCGTTAACTTGCTGTGATCTGCAGATTTTGCAAAATGATTGGGTTTGTTACAGTTCTTACACGATTTACCCATTGCCGGGCAATTTTTCAAATGGCCTTCTCCAAACACTCTACCACATCTCGTGCATTGTTTTTGATCTCCTGTAGATCTTTGAGTATTCTTGTTTTCGTACTGCTTTCTTCTATTCTGATTTTGACCTTGTCGTTTAGAGTTCTTGTTTCCAAATGTCATA